TCTCTCTCTCTCTCTCTCTCTCTCTCTCTCTCTCTCTCTCTCTCTCTCATTTTTGTATCATGATTTTCTTCCATCAGTAGTGGCATTGGTGTGGGTTTCTGGTTTTGATGTTATAGAATGAACTTCTGGGATATTTTTATGACTATATAACAGTCGGTATTAAATTCTTCTGAGGATGAAGATTTGTGTTGTACCCAGTTTTTTCTTAGTATAAAAATGAGGTTACTAAGAGCACTTTTGCAAGAAGCCTTGTTGGATGTATTGTTCATTTTATGGGGGTAATCAATGAAAGTAAATTTGCTTTTGTATAGGACAGGCTTAACTAGATGAGAAACTGCCAAATATTAGAAAAGGTGTTGTGCTGAACTACAGTCCAACCAACATCACACAGCAAATCACACACACTCTGGATGTGGAAGGGGAGAGGCAACAACTTTCAAAATCAGTTTTTCTGTTTCCCTTCATTTTCTTTTGAACGCTTAATGGCATCTTTGAAGGTGGCTATGGTCACACCTATTGTCACCACCAGCCTATTCGAGTCTTACTGCAGAGTCATGGAGAGATACCTCAGTGCAGCCCAGCCCAGTGTCCGGCTCATAAACACCAGACAGGAATAGATGGCTACGAAATGAGAGGGCCAGGTAATCCATCCCTGTCCTGCCATGTCATCCATCCCTGTCCTGCCATGTCTGTGCCTCTCTTTGCAACTGCTATGTCAATAAAAACAATTACTTGAATTTATTTCATCAGACATAAAACCAGACATTAATCAAAGCCGTGAAAATGGATTTTATTCAGTAACTACTGACCATAGGGAAGGAGTTGAGATCAGTTCCCATTTGTGCAGAGGTGATGGCATTCTATGAGGAGAGGAAGGTGGGGGAGAGGGCAAGGTGCAGGGCACACATACAACATTACAAAAGGTTGCTTATCATAAACTTCTGCCTCATCAGGTCAGCTATATCTGCCTGCTGGCAGTATCAGAAGACAGTATTCTAACTTCCCACAGAGACTGGAAGACAGAAACTCCAGTCCTTCCCCAGGACTACTGTTTAAAGGAATGGCTTTCAGATCCTGGGGAAAGACACACTGGCGCTCCCAGGAGATACACACACATCTCAAAAGGATGGAGGAAGGATTCCCTTCTTAGTAAGTGCCATAAGAAAGGGAGATCCTGAACCTACCATCATCAGCAGGTATTGGCTAGAGCTAAACTTAGTTCCCCTGGCAGCCTTGAGCTTTCTTGGGTAGACACTGTAATAGAAGTGCATGGTCATCTGCTGGACACTGTCTTATGCCACTACAAGACATGATAAAATCTGGTCATCTCTTAGCCCAGAGGTTTAATCTGAATAGTTGTGTGCTGAATTTGGTGGTTCTCACTTTCCATTCTCCCATTCTATGGCCTAGATTTTACTGGATTCTATTAGATGGACAAGGAAGGCCACAGGCCATTTTCAGTGGCTTTGAGGCAGCCCACCATATCTGTTGAGAACTGAATGAAAATAAAGAAAACCATGAGATTGAGAGTGGGCCCCACAATAGGTGTCTATTACCCATTTTCAAGAAGATGGACACAAATACTTCCAGGCAGTGTCAAAATGGAAAGTGACTTACGAAGCCAGGATGAAATTCAAACTTATATTAGCAAAGTATACAAGTTATTGATATTTTACAAAAGAAAGCCATGGAAAAATGGCAATCCACAAGTGGCAATAATAGGTAGGGATGGGGAGAAACTCCATAAGGTCAATATTAGCCTCTCTTTAAATGAAATTCTTATGTGTTGCTACTATAATTTAAAGGAAGCCAATGTTATGCTGGAATATATTAATTGTCATGGAATAAATAGGGAGGACATGATGCTAAATTTACTAGTCACTTTTATTGAGGGTATTTGTGAAGGTTAATTTTTTTTGTCAATTTGACTGGGCCAGAGGATGCTAAACATATTTGGCTAAACATTATTTCTCACTGTATCTCTGAGTGTATCTGGACAAGATTGGCATTTGAATCAGTAAATTGAGCAAAGCAGATTGCCCTCCTAAGTGTCAGTGGGCCTCATCCAACCTATGGGGGGCTTGAATACAATGAAATGCTAGAAGGAAGTCATTCTGCTCCACTGTCTTTGAGCTGGGACACTAATCTTCTGCCTTGGGCCTTGGACTTGGTCTTTAACTATATTCAACTCTCCTGGGTCTAGAGCTTACTCAGTGAAGACCTTAGGCTTCGCTGCTTTCGTGTGTGTGTGTGTGTGTGTGTGTGTGTGTGTGTGTGTGTGTGTGTGTCCTGCTCATTTTCTTTCTCTGGAGAACTCAGACTAATATAGTAATATATGCCAGTTGCCTGTTTTTCTCTGTGCTTTAGAAAGATGAAAAATAAATAAAACAAAATCCTGGAGGGTCCTCAGAGAAGAACAGTAAGGATTAGTAGAAGTTTTCAACATTTAGAAAAAGGCCTAAGAACAGCTTTTGTGAAAACTGTCTTTAAGAAAATAAAAGGTTGGGAAAAAAATTGTTACCTTAATGTTTTCTAAGCAAAGACATGATCAAACAAGGAAAAAACTACTTGGGTTTTTAAAGCAAATTTTACTTTGAAATAATTCACATACAATCTTAAGAAGGCAGAGAGAAAAAGAGAGATTTCTTGTACCCCTTACTCAACTTCCTCCAACGGTAACATCTTGGTAATATTTCCAAAACGGTAATATTTGCAAACGTTGCAAATGTATTGCAAATGCCATAGCACCAGGAGATTGACATTGATACAAGCAAGGTACAGGACATTTCCATCAACACCAGGATTCATCATGTTGCCTTTTTATAACCATGATCCCCCTCTTCAGTGCTGCTCCTTAACCCCTGGCAACTACTAATCTATTCTCCATTCCTATAATTTATTCATTCCAAGGATGTTACATAAATGGAATCCTACATGTAACCTTCAGGATTACCCTCTGTCTACTCAGCATAATTCTGTGGAGATTCATCCAGGTCATTCTAGGTATCAACTGTTTGTTCTCTTTTTTAAAAAATTATTGAGGACTATTTGATGCTCTGGATACATACCACAGTTTGTTTAACCATTCACCTCATGCAAGTTGTCTGTTGTTTCCCCAGTTTTGGCTATTAAAAACAAGGCTGCTATAAACTTTAGTATGTGGATTCTGTGTGAACATAAGATTCTCTTTTTCTGCAATACATGCAGGGAACGCAATTTCTATATGGTATGGTAGTTGCACATACAGTTTTAAAAGTAAAAACTATACAGATGTTCTCCAGCACGAGCTGTAACATTTTACATTCCCACCAGCAACATATGTGTGATCCAGCTTTCTTGAATTCTTGACAGCACTTTATGTGGTCATGCTTTTATTTTGGCCATTCTGACAGGTATGTAGCAATTTCCCAGTGTGGTTTCAGTTAGTATATTACTAGTGGCTAATAACATTCTAATTTCAACATATGAATTTGGGAGAGATAGCAAAATGTATCCCCTGATAATGTGTACTCTGGTGTGGTTGGGTGTTCTACAATTGTCAATTTAATTCCCACTGATTGATTATATTGTTGGATTCTTCTTTATTCTTGTTGATTTTCTGTGTGGTTGTTGTATAAATTGTTGAGAAAGGGGATATTGAAGCGAACAGCTATATGTGTGGATTTGTCTAGTTCTCTGTTCACTACTCTCAATTGTTGTTGCATAAACATTTATGACTTTAGTCAGGGGAGGGGTTGGTGGATTGGTCCTTTCATCGTTATACAATGTCCCTGTCTGTGTCTAATTAGTTTGTTCTGAAATATACTATATCTCTCATTAATAGAACCAATCTTGCATTTGTTTGGCTAACGTTTGCATGATATATCTTTTTCCATCCTTTTGATTTCAACTTACCTGTATCATCATATT